GTAGGTAAGTGGAAAATGCAGGTTTGCAAGACAAATTGCCCCTCCTGACTTCTCGACAGACACACTAGATCCTTTGCAACCTTGTACAAACGATGAGCATGTATATGCCCCAACATTGCCCCCTCAGGATAGCAAGTGCATGATGGCTGCTTCTGATAGATCCCACAGTGGGTTCCCAGTATTGCCCCAGGAACGTTGATGGTGTTGAGCAAGATTGTGATCCTGCAGGAATCAGTGACATTCAAAGATGTGGCTGTGGACTTCACCCGGGAAGAATGGCATCACGTGGACTCTGCCCAGAGGAGCTTGTACAGGGATGTGATGCTGGAGAACTACAGCCACCTGGTTTCTCTTGGTAAGGTCCACTTCCTTCTCTGTGCTCAGAGCTGAGGTAATTGAGCAGGGTGCCCAGGGGCTGAAGTTTGCTCATGTCTTTGGGACCCAGCTTTCCAGGGTTTTGTACCTGTTCTTTAGGTGATAGGTCTTAGTTTGTAGAACCAGACATAGCCACATTGATTGAGTGACTGCTTAAGTTGTACCTTTCTTTTCTTCAATGTTCCTAGTTAGAAGATCCTTCTAGACCTTGTTACAATCCAGAAAAATCCATATTTGTGAGGGGGTTTTGTTGTTGTTGTTTTTGTAGTACTGGGGATTGAATTTAGGACCTTGTGCTTGCCAGGCAAGTGCTTATTCTACTGAGCTATCTCCCTGGCCCGAAAAATCCATATTTGTAATCCCATGGAAAGATTGTTGGAATTCTAATAAGTTGATTCTCATCTACCACTCCCAGTGCACTGGAGTAAGACTAAAGACACTCAGGCATATTTGTAGTTGTGAGGAGCCAAGGGCATCCTAAGTCTAGCCAGTTGATAACTAACCAGAACAAAGGCCTGGACCCAGGGCAAAACACAGTTTTTATTAATAAGTGAAGAGGGGAGTGCTTAAGGATGAGTGATTGTGAGAGTGGTGGGAAGCACGGGAGTATAGTGAGCTGGGCTATGTAAGAGCTCTGAAATCGCCTTTGCAATATGCAGAGAGAAAGATATGCAGAAAGAGTAATCTGCGTGGCACAATGCAAAGCAGTAACTATTTGGGGTTGGTGCTTTAGCTTTGAGGTATAAATCTTAGCCTCTTTTCTTGAGGCTCAGTGTCACCTGAGAGCGTAGCCCTCTCCTCCTAGCTCACCCTTACTTGGAAGCTATGGGCAGAGCAACACTGACCTCTCGCTTTGCTTCAAAGACTACATCAACATGTCAGCTAGACTCATTTGCGTTGCATAAAGCCAACTGAGGGGATAAAGACAAAACTTAACCAACTCTATGTCAATACACAAAAATAGGGCCAGGGTTAGCCAAAATGGAAACAATTGCTCTTCTTTCAAGGAGAGTTGTCCAGCTGGCCTTCCACAACTAGTACTGACTTGTAGGAAGTTTCTTTGTCCATTTGCGCAAACAGTCTTGTGTATTTTACCTATGAGCAGGCTATCAAGTTTCCAAGCCAGAAGTGATCTTCAAATTGGAGCAAGGGGAAGAGCCATGGATATCAGAGGGAGAAATCCCAAGACCTTTCTGTCCAGGTAAATGAGTGTGAGTTCACCTGTAGGAATCAGTATAGATGGTGACACAGCTTGGAAAGGGGCAGCTTGAAGGAGCTGGCTGAGGAGCTCCAAGACCTGCCAAAGAAGGTGAACTCCTCTTCTGAGTGACAATTCTCCATGCCTCTGTTCTCCAGGAGAGTGCTGTGTTGTCAGTAGATCCAAGGGAAACAATTATCTCTTCTTCTCCAAAAGTAGAAAAAGGTTCAGGATACCATCTTTGCTTATCTGTGTGGATTATTTTCTGTTTTGCTGTCCTCAGATTCCTTTCGTTATATAGAGATGCCTTTTCTTATTCAGATATAAACTGTCATATTTTCTCCTTTCTTTATCTTGCTGCCTTCCGTGTTGGATGGCCCAGACTTGTAGGAAACATTGAAGCCTTGATTTTTCTCTCCCTTTGTAGCCCACCTTCAGACTCCTTTAGTTTTGAGACAGGGTCTTACCATGTAGTCTAGTCTGGCCTCAAACTCGTAGCAGTCGTCCTGCCTCAGCCTCCTAATTGCTGGGATTATAGGCATACGCTACCACTGCTGGCATTAGTCCTTTTCTTGACCTTAGTCCTGAAACACCTGTCTGGGAAGCAGCAGCATCTCGCCATCCCACCTTTATGCTGGATTGATCCATTGTCTCCCTCCATGTCCCTGTGATACCATCCTTTCTTAGTCTTCTGCTTTGCAAAGGGTTTCTGGGCTTTAGGTCTGTGGTAGTCAGCTTTCCATCACTGTAAGTAATACTACAACTCTTTTTGCTGAGGACTCAGAAATCTACCTGACTTGAACCCCATCCACTTTTTTTCTTCTCACAGGACCTCTGCTTGGAAGTTTCATAGAGCTCATATCAAATATATCAAACCAAAATTCATCATCTTTCATCTCAGCCACCACATCTTGCTACCTTGCCTATTATTCATTTCTGCATTTGGCTGTAGAAACCGCTGGATTTCTGATCCCTGAGGTTAGACACCATAATCAGTTTAGTCTTTTTTTCTTTCAACCCGATTATTTTCTTCCTTTGAGAAGTTTCTTAGATTTTCCTGCATTCTAACTTCTAGTGGCAATATTCTAAACCAGCTCCTGAGCTTAGAATACTATAACTCTCAAGTTATAATAATCTTTATTTTTTATAATCTATATATTTTTTGTTGTTGTTTTTAATTTTTGTTGGGCTTTGTTTGAGACAGGATCTCACAGTGTGATTTAGGCTGGCCTTGAACTCTCTATGTAACCCAGGCTGGCCTCAAATGCTCAGTGATCTCCTGTCTTAATCTCCTAAATGCTGGGATTATACACATGCACCACCATGCTGGGCCTTATATTGGCTTTTTAAAATTTTTATTTATTTATGTATTGGTCTTTTTGAGACCGGGTCTTGCTATGCAGTTCAGGCTAGCCTTGAGTCCACTTTGTAGCCCAAGCTGGTCTCAAACTCACAAAAATCCCTTTGCCTCAGCCTCCTGAGTACTGGGATTACAGGCATGTGCTACCACACCTACCTGGGTTTTTTTAAATTAGCGTTTTATCCAGGTATAATTCTCAATTATAGTTTGTTTCTTTCTCTTCCTCCTTCTCGTTCTTCTTTGGCAGGGTTTTGTTGTGTATTTCATGCCTGTCTTAAAATTGCCCAAGCTAGCCTCCTACCTCACCTTCCCAAGTGCTAGGATTAGAACTATGTGTCACCACATCCAGAAAGAGTCACTCTTCTAAAGTGTACATGTCAGGTTTTGGGTTTTTATTTGTGTGTGTGTGTGTGTGTGTGTCAGTGTTGTGCAAACATCACCATTATGTGGTTCCCAGTGTCATACAAAACATCAGAATGTTTTCATTACCCAAGCCAATTAAGAATCATACCCAGGGCCAAGGAGATGGCTCAGTGGGATAAGCACTTGCCTGGCAAGAATCATACCCAATTCCCCACTTGTTCCAGCCCCTAATAGCCATTTGTCTACTTGATTCTCAATGGATTTGCCTCTTGTGGACACTGTATTAATTGAATCATATAACATATGGCTGGTTCTATTCGCTTAACGTGTTTTCAAAGTTGATTCATATTAAAGCATATATCAGTAATTTATTCCTTTTTATTATTGAGTAGTATTCTGTTGTATGGATATGCTACATTTTGTTTAACAACTAATCAGTTTATAGAACATATTGGATTTTTAATATTTTATCTGAGGGGCTGGGGAAATAGCTCAGTAGAATAAGCACTTGCTTGGCAAGTGCAAGGTCCTGAGTTCAATCCCTGGTTCCACAAAAAATCCAAAAACATAAAAATATTTTATCTGCTTAAATCACCTTATTATTACTTATTATAGTACTGCATTATAAAAAATAGAAATTCTTGATTTTTAAGGCCTTAGTCCAAAATTACCTTTTGTTCCTGCTTTTTAAAAAAAGTCTCCTTAGGGTTAGGGTTAGAATTAGGGTTAGGGTATAA